GTATACCAAGTCTAATACTTAACTAAAGGATAATAATTATCAGTTGACATTCCTCGTAATATATGTTGATATCATTGATCCTACATTATCACCTAGTTATCATGTATTAGTCTCTAGTTTTTTGTTTGCCTCTCATGTCATCTAAAATATGGGTATCAATAGCATCATCCTCATATGATTTCCAAACAAACTGGATTATAAAAAATACATTAGATATATAAACAATATCAAATGTGTAATTACAACATATTTAATGACATATTAAATGCTTACCTCATGAACTTCTATCTCATCTATTGTCAATTCAATTTTTCAAGATCCCTATATCTGTGTTTTGTGAATATCAATGGTGTCTCCACATAAAAGCAAGTGAAAATATTATTGGTTCACCTAGAATTGAAGCCAACCATGATAGTTGATGTCACATTCATACTTACAGCAGTATCATGCAACCGCAAGTTTCTTTACCTTCATATTATTTGGCACGATCTAGCCCCCTATAAAGACTTGCAATGCATCTTGAACCCTAACTATAAACTCTAATTTCATTACATTCCAACAATTCTAAGAATTTCGGATGTGCATAGGCATTGCTCTTACTGATGTTGGAAACCAATCAAGATGTTGTATCAACTATTTTAAGCTTATTTATGAACCTTCCATATCATTTGATTTAGGTTGAGTGCATAATAACTCTTTACACATGTCCTCCATTGCTACAACATTTGGATTAATAGAACTAGTTACTATTAGACCATTAATATAAAGTCTAAGCAAAATAGCAACATATGTCTTTTAATATAATTGTGCATTCTTTAGAAAAAAAAATGAAATATATGTGTCGTTAGTTCCTACCATTCAACAAGTATATTAATAATGAGACTATTTATTTGTATTTGCAGGCTAAATGACTAAGGCCAATATTCTTTAAAATGTCATGTATTTTTAACTTTAAGTAGTGTTATTGATAAGTGGCGAAGTCATAACATTATCTGTTACAAAAAATAAAGAAAAAAATTAATTAACAACTAAAATATTAAATAATTTACACTAATTATAATATATATTAACAAATTATCTATAAATACATAATTTATAGATAATTTATATTAAAATTAATTATATCAAAACTTTAAATGATAAAGTTACTTACATTGTAGTTACAATGATTTGACAAATATGTTTTTTGAAATCTACGATAGAGTTATAAACTTTTTTTTCCTTTCTTTTTTTAATTAAAATATACACTCAAAACACTCTTATTTTAAGTCTACTAATTTTTTTTCTAACTATTAAAAAAAAAAAACAATTTATTCTCCTTCGCTACCCTTGTTCTCTTTCAATATCGTTCTTCACCTTCAACCCTCAAAATTTTCATCATCACAATGCTTTCATGGATTTCTTCTTTGACTACCCGTAAATCTTGTTATTCATGAGTTTTTGGACTTGAAAAATACAAAAATTGTGAACATTGATAATGATGTGATTGATTTTTAGAGATTCATGAAATATTGCCATTAGCAAGATTTGCAACAGTCAGAGCACTGTTGCACATGCTGAGGTGAAGCGATCTCTGCTTGAACAATGTTCACGATGAGATCACACTTTCTACAAACTTTCTAACATTTCATTATCATAAAATCTTGTCAATTCTTTACGTAAAATCCCATATTAAAATTAATTAGCCACGAGTCCACCTTAAAAACCTTAATTCTTTAATTTTATATAATTTGAATAATTATGGTTATATTATTTAAATTTTAATATTTATTTATATACTTTAAAAAATTATATATTAAAATAAAATAATTTTTTTATTTTTGTATTTAATAAAATTAATTTAGTTAATGAAAACTTTTAAATTAATGCAGAGATCATCTTTCTATATCGCTTACATAGCACATAAATGAAGAATAGAGAGATCATGAAAACAGAGAGACTAGGGCGAGTGAGGGGCTCTATTGAGGCCCCAGTGGCATTTGCAACACAATCTGGCAAGCTCAACTGAGACAGGCTGAGAGGAATCGACAGAATTTGCATGTCATAAGCCCCAAAGGACAAAATAATAATATGCTTTACTGGTCATCCCCATAAGCAATATAGAGGGGGGAAATGGTACTTTCAACAACAAAATCAAAGACTCAATAAGGCAACTAATAGAGAATTTTTTCCATTGGTGAGTAGTATTTTGGAAGGTGTAGAATGAGTTTTAATTTAGAGTATTTTACTATTTTCAGCACATAACACATTGAACCTCTCCTTTCATTTGGCAACATTCAACCCAGTTCACTAATCATTGTTTAATCTAACAGAAATTTACTTTATTTCTTTTCTGTTCAAATTAACCTTAGAATTCAAAGTCACGTTATATAAAAATTCAATCATAAATTTATCAAACATATTATTTATCACTCTTAATTTATACTTTTCAAACTAAAATTCAGAATGCTCGAATTATAATTATTAAAGATATAAAGTGTCATATCGGTAGATTGATAATAAATAAAAAATTATATAAACAAATAGATTATAAGATTAAAATTGTCTAAGATATTTTAAATAAATAAAATATTTAAGTATATAACTTTCTCTTTTATTCTTGAATCATATCTATGTTCAAAATCTTAATATGGTACAAAAGCTAATTCTAATAATTAGTAAAATTAAGATAGAAATTTCAAATCTTAAAGATTAATTTTAATAAAATCTTAATTTATATCATAAATTTAATGTTAAATTTATTGAGATAAGCTGAAAATAACTTACAAAAATTATATTATTTTTTTACAAATTATAGTTTTTTCAGTTCTTTTTATAAGAAAGAAATTAAATTACTAAAAAATAATTAAATCAGTTATATTTTTTATAAATATAAATTTTATTCTAAATATATATATATAATATTAAATAATATATTTAATGACTTATATATTTAACGATACTAATAAATAAAAAATATAAAAAAATTAACAATTAATATATCTCAAATTTATTTTATATTTTTTATAATCATAATAAAAAATATTTCATTTTATTCTTATAAAAAGGATTGGATGGAATATTAAATTGCATTTGAAAATTACGTTGAGAGTTGTATTATTATTTTAAAAAAATTACTTTTAATTTTTAAGCAGCATCCTTATATGTAATGTATTAAAAATACAGGAAATGTTTATTAGTGTATCCAACCAACCTAGAAGTTGATTGCTTGCACGAAAGAATAGCTAGAATTTCATTTGCTGTAACTTATTGCTCTACGTTACTCTGTCATCTTCCTAGATAAACAATGCTAGTTCTCGAAGGTTAAAAAGTTCTCTCTTGCACGAAACAAAAATTATAACAGGTAATTTTATATTAACAGATAATAGAATTAATAATTTATTTTTAAAAATATAGATATTTTTTTATTTTAAAATATTAAAAGAATTATAGTTCTTATTCTAAAGAGTATATAATGGCTTTCAAATTGAAGATTACAGAACACCAAAAATAAATTTGAGATATTATATTTTCTTAATATATTTTATATTCAATATCTCAAAAATATTTTTTTATTCATAGAAGAAATCCAAGATCTTGAATGCGACCTTAATGATTCAAAAACGGCACTTATTTCTTAATATTTTTCGAGTCGTACAGATTATTGACGAACGAACGTTGATGAAGACTAAAAAATATTTTAAAAAAAAAAAAATACAATGATAGACTTCTTCTATTATCCAATTTTAGAAAAAACTACCGCGGTCTTGCAGCACCCAATAAAGAAAAAAACATTAACAACGGCGGTCTTGAATGCCAACTTTGATATAACTCAAAAGCGGCACTTCTTTCCTCTTTTCTTTCTAATCTTTTTCACTTGGGAGTATCATGTGTATCTTCAACTTATAATTATGTCACACGTTTTATTTTATTTTATTTTACATTTTTATAGATATTTAATGATCAAATTTTGATAAATATACTTAAAAAAATTAATTATTAATTACTTACATTGATTTTTATTTATTATTTCTTAACATGTGTTTGAGTCCTAATTCTAAAAATGATAAAAATAGACTATTAGGTCTATTTAGGCTAATCCATGTGAGTAGCACTTTAATGAGTTTAAGTTAAAATAGTTCATATTTAATTTAGACTCATCAAAATATTGTCTAAAATAGGTAAAAAAAAAATTATGAATTTTTGCAATTTAAGTCTCATTGAACGTGATTAGATGAAGATAAAAAAATTTAAATCTAATTTATGCTTGTGAAAATATTATTCAAAACGGATAAAACTCGTTCTTTTATAGGTTTTGATGGGCTTAAGCCACACCAAATTTATTAGGTTGTACTAAAAATATTTGAATTTAATTTAAATTAAAAATTCAAAATCGAAAACCTATATTTTATTGAGCGGGTTCTAGTCATTCGGATGAAAGTCCATTTTATTAGCTCTATCTAATTCTTTACATATATTTTTTTTACATAGTACACGGACATTATTTTTTGTCTGGAATTATAAGTATTTTTTTATATGAAAATTTTTCATTAACAAAAAATATTGTTATCCATGTCAAGGGAAGTTGTCTTATGTACACAATATTAAAAGAATTAAATGAAAAATAAAAAAAAAGGAAATAAAGGATTATTTTGTTGTCTTAAATAAGTTAAAAAATTATAATAAAAAAACATTAACTCAAATATAAAGTCAACTCAATATTATTAATGACAGACTTAAATAAAACTTATAGAAGTGACTATTATATTAGATATATAAAAGTTAGAAGTGTAAAATAAAAAAAAATAAAGGAAAAAAGAAAAGATCAGATGTCTTATTTTCCTTATTTAAACTTGTGAAACTAGTTTCCTATTTTTATGAAAGCGATTTTTCTTTTTGTTGTGAGTCATGCAGACCTGATCCATTTGTTGCAATGTCACTGTTGGGCCTGTGTACTTAACGCACTATATTTGGGCCCGACCCGATCCAATTTCCCATTAACCAAAATACAATCAAACAGGAGAGTTAAGGGTGAAGAGTGAACACAGAACCGCATAGGCGCATAGTGATGGAAATGGTAAGTGTTCACTCAGTAGTTGCGTTTCTGCATTCACAAACACACGTTGAAAGGCTCAACAGTAGAGTTTTCTTCCCCTCCACAAGAGTCACAACTCCAAGGAAGGTGAAGGTGAAGGTCCCACTTCCTCGTTATCATCATCCAAATCGCATAAGCAACGGTGGTTGGAGTAATAGAACACGTGTCATCATAAACTCCACTTCTGCTACTACCGCTACTTCCACAGTAATTTATGATGCTGAGGTGGAAAAGATAAAGCAGAAGTGCCTTACATGGCTATGGAAGGGACAGTATTCCATCAACTACTTTGTTTCTTCTGATGCAGATGATTCTCCTCAGCAGTTACACGCCAACCACCCTCCTTTGTTACTTGTTCATGGCTTCGGTGCTTCCATTCTTCACTGGCGCAGGTAATTCCCACTATAGCTATTCATATGTTTTAGTGTTATCGCTTCTGCTTTTGCTCTTTTCTCATCCACCCATTTTTGTTTTGTTAGATATTATTATCCTTGCTATCACTTTCATATCGTATGTTGCTAGCCATATAAAATGGTATGGTAAAAATTAATATTTGCATGTATGTAAGTACCCACCGGGTTCAATTTCTTACCCAATTAAGAGGTTAAATATATTAGGAGATGCATCAATACCCAAATTAAAAGTTTTTTATTGGAATTGTCGATCACCCTTTTTCCAGCAACTGTGCAGAATCCTCTCCATGTGTTCAGGTTTCTCAGATCACCAACTCCGGGTATCTGCAAGCTTGAAAGGGTTGACAAAGAAAAGAAGAAACATTAGTGTGATCATGTCAATTATAAGTTCTTGATTGAGCTTGCATGTAAATTGCTATTGGAAAATTTTGGCTGGATCTAACTCATTATATTATGATTCCAAAACTTAAATCCTAACAAGGTTCATTAGAATCCAGATAGAATTATCTCAGTTAAACTAGCATTGATGGAAAAATGCTGAATGCTTGTACTTGGTAATGATCTGACCATGTCTTGAACTTCGGTGCCCTCTAGCAAATTCAATTCCAACTAAATGAGTTTTCTTACTCGATTAGCGTGTGTTAAATATTTTAACAATATAGTCATTAAATTGAACTATTAGAATTTTTTTTTCTTCAGGAATGTCAGGACACTGGCCCAGAATTATACTGTTTATGCTATTGATCTTCTTGGTTTTGGGGCTTCCGATAAGCCTCCAGGATTTCAATATAACATGGAAACATGGGCTCAGGTAATTATTTGCTGAGGTTTTACTTGGAGATCAACTCTCCAGCATTACAACTAACCTTTGTACCCGGAATTCACTGTAAACAGTTGATTTTGGACTTCTTGAATGAAGTTATTCAGAAGCCAACTGTGCTAATAGGAAACTCTGTTGGAAGTCTTGCTTGTCTCATTGCTGCCTCAGGTATGTTCGATTCGTCCCTTCAACATATAGAGTTTGCATCAGAAACTTCTCTTTTGCCTTATCTGTGAATTATAGCCTCCCACCAGATTCAAGTCAAACACTTGTCAAAGGAATTGTGCTGTTAAATTGTGCTGGTGGCATGAACAACAAAGCAATTGTTGATGACTGGAGGATCAAGTTACTATTACCCTTGCTTTGGCTGTTTGATTTTTTATTGAAGCAAAAGAGAATTGCCTCAGCAATTTTCGAGCGTGTTAAACAGAGGTATTCTCTCTGGGTTGGGCCATAATCTCCTCAAATTTTTAAAGAGGCAACTTAAAATTGTATTGCTTATATGCAGAGAGAACTTAAGAAACGTTTTGAATTCAGTGTACGGAAATAAGGAGTCTGTGGATGAAGAATTGGTGGAGGTAATGCTATGTTGTTTACTTGTTTCGTTCTTAATCTCCTCACTTATACAACATTTACTTAGAATTTGCATTTTGATTCTGCAAATGTAGATCATTAGGGAACCAGCAGATGATCCAGGAGCCTTAGATGCATTTGTATCCATTGTAACGGGGCCACCAGGGCCTAATCCGGTGCAGTTGATGCCAAAAATTTCCTTGCCTGTTTTACTTTTATGGGGGGATCAAGATCCTTTTACTCCAATTGATGGACCTGTTGGCAAGTACTTTTCTTCATTGCCTTCTCATCAAGAAAATGTTAAACTCTTCTTACTTGAAGGGGTTGGACATTGTCCCCATGATGACAGGCCTGACTTAGTACATGAAAAATTGCTTCCCTGGCTGGCAAGTCTTTCAAATTCATAACACACTGTGAATTACTCACAAGCTGCAACGGTTGTTGGAACCTTTCATTGTTTAATCAGTGACTCCCTCATCTATAATTTCCACATACATTCCTTTTGTATAGATTATGATCATATTTTTACTTGTATTCATATATGCACCACCAATGTCCAATTGTCTTAGAATATAGATTATGTTCAAAATGCATTGAATCAAGGTTATAATGTGGTCTGTAAAAGTTGAGATGCCGTATCAAACTGGATAGAAAATATGATTGAAAGAAAAAACATTATATTATTTCACTATGTTTGAGATAGCACAAATGGGCTGTTCATGTACAGAATCGATCATCTTCAAAGTACGGATATCCTGGATCTGACACAATTTGGGATAGAAAATAGGCTTACATTGCAGCTGATTAGTGAGCTTGGAAATAAAAATAAGATTGAAACTGAATTCTGGCTGATATAAAAGATCAGTTAAATAAAAAGAATCAGTTAAGTACGTTGTACATATAAATGCTCTATTTTTTTTTTTTCCAGAAATCGTCCATGAAATATTTTAAAGAGAAAAGGAAAATACTAATTAATGTTCTAAGGACATTGATTAAAAAATTGAAAGTGAAATTTCTTTATTGAAAAGTAAAATGAAAATATTGGAAATCAAGTCCCAGTCAGGATTGCACTTTTAACACCACTCTGGAACGAGAATTGAATTATCAGAACTGACCAATACGTTTTAAATTTTTGTTTTCAGAAAAAAAAAGAAAAAGATTTGTATGGTTAAATAAAAGGGTTTTTTTTGGGTAAAAAAAGTGGTATTGATTTTGGACTTAGGCCCTACATGTTGTGCAAAGTGCCTAATATTTTTAGAAAAAGACAAAAACTAGCCCGATGACAATATTGCTTATGGCACCACGTTAACAAAATAACAGTTGAAGCCTCTGGAACATGTTGGAAAACTCCTGTACGCTCTTTTACCGCGGAATTATAATTCCAAATGAAGCTAGAACATTCTTCACCTCTCTACTCAAAGCACTTTTCATTTCACTCTGTAGCATTCATTTGGCGTAGAAACTTCAAGAACCAAGCTACCACTTGGCCACGTTGCTGTCTTTACATGCTATATATACACCACACTCGTACTTATGTCTTCACAAGACACAAGCCAAACTACACTGCCATAGTCTAGCCGAGTCATCACCATTATCTGTCATTCTCCTCTACCTTTTCCCCAAATACCAAAGCAACATACATTCACTTCCCAGTATACAAATGAAGCTGCAAATACAACAGCAAAACCTGTTCTTGGTGCCATTTTTCTTGCTCTTTATTGCTGCTTTTCCTTCAAAAGCAAATGGGTCTCTGCTACCATTTATAGATCCTCCCAGCAGTCTATTGGCTGATCTATGGTCTGATCGCTTGCCAGACCCATTTCGTGTGCTAGAACAGATTCCAATTGGGGTTGGCAAAGATGAACCATCCATGGCTCTATCACCCACAAGAGTGGACTGGAAGGAGACACCAGAGGGGCATGTGATAATGCTGGACGTGCCAGGGTTGAAGAGAGATGAGATAAAGATAGAGGTGGAAGAGAATAGGGTGTTGAGAGTAAGTGGTGAGAGAAAGAAGGAGGAAGAGAAGAAAGGTGATCACTGGCACAGGGTGGAGAGGTCCTATGGCAAGTTTTGGAGACAATTTAGGTTGCCGGAAAATGTTGACTTGGATTCTGTGAAGGCTAAGTTGGAAAATGGGGTGCTTACTTTGACACTTGAAAAGCTGTCACCTGATAAGATCAAAGGTCCCAGGGTGGTGAGCATTGCTGGGGAGAATGAGGAACCAGCCAAGCTAACCAATGATGGGGCCAAGCAAGAGCTTTGAATGAGTTGGTGGATCATGGAGACCAAGTTAATCTTTCTTGAGTGTCAGTGAATGATCAGTTATTAAAATGGAAAATGCTTTTTAATTCTGCGTTTAATTTGTGAATAAAAAGGTTCCACCAAGACCTTTGGTGGTTTTGGTGGAAGGAATGGGTTGTTAGTTAATCTTTGATGAGAAGATGAGTGAGTCAACTGTCAAGTTGTAATGTACAGGCTTTACTACTCTCGTAATAAATTGACACATTTGAAAAAATAAAATATATCATTAAATTATCATAAACATTTTAATTTTAATAATTATTTCTCAATTTTTTTATATTTATATTGTAATATTTTAATTATTATAAATATTTATTTTTATAACAAAACTAGAAGTCGGTGAATATAATTATAACCGACAAGCACCCCTTAGGCAGTGTCATTGTCTTTATGTAGTGACCATTCGCCTCGGAAGTCCCTCACATTCTCTTGATCTCTTGCCCTTACAATGAGAGACCAACACTTTTAGGGTTTCCTTCCGACCTTCAAAACACTTGCATAAATGGATCAATATTTTTGTCCTTTCACACATTCATCGAAATTTGATTTCTTTTGCTTCGTTCATTTTATTTTCTTTATTTCTCTGTGTTTCAAATTTGTTCTTCTTGATTAGGGTGTTTAACTGACATTCCACGTTCACAATTCAATTGACTAGATATATCCACGTTTGGTTTGAATACGCATAAAGAGCTCAAGAAGAATAATGTAACAAACGATTACTAGTGAGAGAAGAGGGCGAAAGAAAATTCAATTATTTGTGCTTTTAGCCTTCAATTGAGTGAGCAGAGCAGCATCTAATCAACGTGGTGTTGTCTTTATGTCCTTCCATTTATTTAATTCAATTTATGTTTTCACCTATGTTTGTTTTATGATTTTGTTCTTTAATTTCTTGACATATCATATTCTTGTTGTTTTAGGTCCCACGCATTTAATCTTCTTGAGATATAACACATCTAATTTTAATTTATTATATTAAAAGAAAATCTAAATTTATATTATTATTGTAAAAATATTTTTATATAATTTATTAATGTTTTTTTATTTCTTCAAATATTTGTTCTATTTCATTGTCTAAACAAAACTATGAGATAAATAAAGTATGAAAATAAATCAGTTAAAAATTTAAATAATGAAATATAAAAAAGTAAATCGATATAATGAAATGTGAAATTTTATTTCCTTGGATTATGCTGATAAATATAATTTATAATTTATTTAGGATCTTGTAGTTTATTAATTTAATTAATAAGTGTGTATAAATTTATTTGATAAATATAAAATTAAAGAAACTTATCTTTTAAAATTTTAACTTTTAAATATTTATTTAATAAGTCGGTTAATTTTTAAAAATTAGCTACTAATATTTATATTTTTAATTTTTGTTAAATAAAATAACTTATACATCACACAATTAACTTAGAGTTATTAACATTTTATTATATTTTAATTTTTTTTTAAAAATCATTGTTATCACTTAATTAAAATTTTACTTACATATGTTAATTTATTATCTTTTTATTCTCTTCATTTTCGTGGTGTGTCATTTTTTCTTCTATTTTTTTCATATATTCTTGTGACTTCTATTTAAATGTATTTTATGTCAAAAAAATATATTCAGAATATTTTATGTTCAAACATATATGAAATTTTTTTATTTTTTAATATAATTATTTAATTAATAATAAATAAAATAAATAAATAATATCTAATTGTAATATTGTATGTCTTTTTAAGTCATTTGGTACATTAGTTAGTCAAATAATTTTAATTTTATAAATTATTTATACAATTATAAGTTTTTAGCAACAAGTCCATTTTCAGTTATCTACATAGTTAGAAGTTATAAACTTGTTTTACTAAACACAGTTTTAATTTTTGTCTTTCAATATTTTTTTCTATATACATACAATAGAGACTTATTCTTCTTAGTTATTAAAAAGGCCTAATTATATTTTATAAGGTATAAAAGTATTACTCTTTAAAATTAGTCTTTAAAAAAAATAGTAAAATTTAGTCATCATATTATTAAAATATTTAAAATTAGTTTCTTCCATCAAAAATTCTGTTTTCTATGTCAAAAATTTCTTTAATCTTGTCTATTAAATGTTTAATGTGTTTTGTTTTATTTAAGATATGATTCAAAATTAACTTCTTAAATTTTTCCGTTAAAGCCACCATCGAACAATTCCTTAATTATGTTCCTTCTGTTGTTAATTTCAATCCTCCCATTGAACTTATAACTTTTTAATCATCAATTTATTACAAAAATAATAATTAGATGGAAAAAATAGGATGACACCTTCTTAAAGTGATCTATGCAATAAGATGAAAATTGAAACACAACAATGAGAGAAATATAAGAGGAGCTATTAATGACCTTAGATATAGTTGTTAGAAAAATGTTTTAGAATTTCACAAACAATTTTTTATTTCAATTGTGTTTAGTTGTCCCAATCTTTAAGAAAGTAGTTAAGTTTTTTAAGTGTTACCAATTGTGGCTTAATTATAGAAGTGGATAGTTATACTTAAAAAAAAAAAAATTATAATGTTTCTAGAGTGAATTATGCTCTATTTCTCTTTTTAAAAATACGTTAGTTTCATTTTTTTCTATTTCAATACCTTTAAATTTTACAAAAAAATTACTTATAATTGGTAACAAAGTGCCTTAATCTTGAAGGACTTGTGAGAGAAAATTTTGAAAGGATATTCAAGTTTTTCAGCAATAATACTACCAATCTTTAATGAAAAAAATTTATCAAATTTAGGCAATATGAATGGAAGTCTACCTAGAGGCTTTAAATTTATGTGAGGTCCTGGAAGAGGATTATGAAATACCTGTACTACTTGACAATGGGTTAAATCAAGAATCACAACAATAGAAAAACTAGAAAAGCTAAGGCAAAGGTGTGCCTCTTTGTTGTAGCCTTACCAACAAATTTCACTCAAATCATGTCTCTAAAGCTAACCAAAGCCATATGGAATTATCTCAAAAAAGAATACGATAGAGATGATCAAATCATAAGCATGCAAGTGCTAAATCTCATCAAAGACTTTAAATTGCAAAAGATAAGGGAATCAAGAATTATCAAGGAGTACTCTTAGAGGCTTTTAAGCATAGCAAATAGAGTAAGATTACTTGGTTCTGAATTTAATTACTCTTGTATTCTAGAAAAAATAGAGTAAGATTTGAGGCAACCATAACCATGCTAGAAAATGCTAAGGATTTATCCAAGATTACCTTAGTAAAGTTGTTGAATTCCTTGTAGGCACATGAACAATGGAAGTCTATGAGAGAAGAAGGCTTTCTTGAGGAAGGATTTCTTGCTAAACATGAAGATGTTGGGATGAAAAATAAAAAAGAACTAGCAACCAAATAGAGAAGGTGCTATAAAAAATGAAAGCAAAGCAGGAAGTTCAAAGGAAAAGTATCTTTCTTGCAAGCATTGCAACAAAATGGGTCATCCTCCTTTCAAGTGTTGAAGAAGACCTGATGCTATCAAGAAGAAGATGCTTAAATTGCTAATGAAGAGGAGGAAGATCAACTTTTATTGCAACCTGTTTTTCAAGCAATGTTTAAATTGCTAATGAAGTGGATGCACCAATCATATGACACGACAAGGAACTCTTCAATGAATTGAAGCCTTCTAAAATTTTAAAGGTCAAGATAGGTCACGACGATTACATTCTAGTAAAAGGAATAAAAACCATTGTCATTGCAACATATTCAAGAGTTAAAACGGTTTCTAATGTGCTATATGTACCTAACTTAGACCAAAACTTGTCGACTGTTGGTCAACTATTAGAAAAAGGTTTTAAAATATTTTTTGAAGATAATTATTGCTCAATCAAGGATACTAGATGTCAAGATTTTTTTAAGATGAAAATGAGAGGCAAAAGCTTCTCACTAGATCCAACTTAGAGGAGGTAACTTTTTCAGCCAAAGAAAATGTTGTTGATTTATGGCATAAGAGGCTTGGGCATTATCACTATCAAAGGCTTCTCAAAATGAAAAAAAAAATATGAAATGGTAAAAGACTTGCCTCATTTTGAAGTTGTTTCGACATATTGTCATGCTTGTCAATATGGGAAATAAAACAGGCTTTTGTTCCTAACAATCATTTAGAGAGCCACAGAGAAGTTGTAGTTAGTTCATACTGATGTCAGAGGGCTTCAAAGGACTATTTCTCTTAAAGGCGGTTGTTATTACATTATTTTTGTAGACGACCTAACCTGAGTGTGCTGGGTCTATTTTCTAAAATTCAAATAAGAGGTTGGGAACATTTTCTAGAAGTTCAAAGAAAGGGTGAAAAATGAAAGTGGCTGTAAACTTTAAGATAAATGGAAAGGAGTATACCTCATATTAGAATAATTCATTTTTTGAGGAAGCAAAAATTAAACATCAACTTATAGCTCTTTATACTCTAGAACAAAATGTAGTCAATGAGAGAAGAAATAGATTTATTATGGAGATGGCCATATGCATGTTGCATGAAAAGAATTTGCCAAAGAAATTTTTGGCAAAGATAGTAAACACAGTCGTGTTCTTACAAAATAGACTTCTTACCAAATAAACTTTCCACTAGCGCGGTGAACAATAAAACTCCTTTTGAAGTATGACATAGATACAAACTCCAAATACATTTTCTTAAAATGTTTGGTTGTCTTTGTTTTACCTATGTTTCATAAGTCAAATGAGATAAACTAAACAAAAAGGTTGTTGCATGAATTTTCATTGATTATAGTACAATTTTAAAGGCTTATAAAGTTTTTCAAACAGAAACAGAAACTATTACTATTAGTAGAGATATGCACTTCATGGAAAATGAAGAATGGAATTAGAAAACTCAAAAACCTCTATGCTAAAGACAAGCTCGTGGCTAGATGAAAAAAAAGGATGATCCACTAGTTAGAGGCACACAATTATTGTCTCAAATATATCAGAAATGCAATGTTGCAGTATGTGAACATGCTCATCATGAAAAAGCTTTTAAAGACTCCAAATGGAATACTGTAATGAAGGGTTGAGGAGTTGTTTATGATTGAGTAAAACAAAAAACCTAAGAGCTTATTGATAAACCCCTGGGAAGAAAGGTCATTGGAGTGAAATAGGTATTTAGAACCAAATTAAATGTTAATAGTTCAATTAATAAGCATAAAGAAAGGTTTGTAGTTAAGGAGTATGCACATATTTTTTATTTTGA